CAATCTAGGAAAGCTGATACCCAAACTAAGGTGAGTGTGCGGAGTGAGTGATCGCGAGATCAAGTAAAGGTGAGAGAGAATAAGGAGAGAGTCATAGAGGTAAGTTGGATTTAAGTAAGTTGTAAACCCATTTATGATCAATTTATAACATATTTAACATCAATATTATATTTCAACTCATTTATGATCCATTTACTGTAAATAGTTAACTCATAATAGCAATTCAACCTATTATATATGAGTTAAGAAATGTGTTTATGACATATTCTTACAGGTCTACTTGAAATGAACCCACAAAATGGTTGATGAATGTTGGAAAATATATACTTCATAAGACCAAATAAAAAGTGTCCAATGGTCTTTGTATAGAAAGGACGTGGCGCACAAAAACTAACTCAAGAACCATTTTATTGCTGACAAAAAATCCAATATAAAATAATTGGTTATTTTAGATAGGGAAAATAACAAAAATGATACTTGGACTTTGGCCTAATGCGCAATGTGGTCCATGAATTTTTAATTTGTTCAATGTGGTCCATAAACTGTAGCCCAATGTGCAATGTGGTCCCTGAACATAGAACATATATGCAATCAATCCACACAAAATAATATCATTCCCCTTATCTTGCACAATGAGATGAGTGAATAAGAAAACGTCCACCTAGCAAGATAAAATTGTTTTAGAGAAATGAATTTAGAATCCTCCCAACTTAAAAGATAAATCAACCATCCATCTCTACAGTTATTTAAAGTACTAATTGACTATTGACATGTAAGCCAATACAAACTAGTGTTGTTCATAATCATTTTTAGTTCCTTAAATCTTTTCAAGGTGATAATGTGCATGCATGCCGGCCCAAGATCCGAGTTTTAACTTACCTATCGAAAATCGTAAAAGTGGATTGAGTGGTACATCATGCAGATGGATGAATCTGAACGAACACTGCCATGAAAAACAAAGGGGGAAATGTTGGATAATCTGCAGCGCGTGCCTTGCCTGTTGCTGTCGAAGCACACGACTTCTATATTTCTAACTCACGAAAATTAAACAAAAAGGGAGAACAAGTTTGATAATCATGGGCCCAATTCCCTAAAAAACCCCCAACTTTAGCATTTGTCCCAATTATATCCCAAACTTTTTTTTGTCTCATAAAAAACCCCAAACTTTTACTTTTGTCCCAAATCAATCCCGTTTACTATTCATCCAATTTTTTAATATTATTTTTTATTTTTTCGAATTTTTTCTTTTCTTTTCTTTTTTTTTTGTTTCACCTTCAACCTCCGGCCGGTCGCCGGTCCGCCGGCGACCGGCCGAGGCGAGGACCGGCGAGGTCGGCCCGCCGGCATGGTGCGAGGCTCGGCTCGCCCAAAGAACGGCGAGGCCGACCTCGCCATCGGAAGCTGGCGAGGCTCGGCCTCGCCAAGACGGCGAGGCCGACCTCACCATCGGCCCCGCCGCCGCCGGCGAGGTCGGCCTCGCCAAGAATCCGGCGAGGCCGAGCCTCGCCGGATCCGGGCGAGGTTCGGCCCCGCCGGCACTGGCGAGGTCGGCCTCGCCCAAGAACTGCGAGGTTCGGCCTCGGCCGACCTCGCCGCCGGGCTGGGCCGATGGCGAGGTCGGCCTCGCCGTTGCCGGGCGAGGTCGAGCCTCGCCGGTGCCTGCGGGCCGACCCTCACCAGATCCGGCGAGGCTCGGCCGCCGGCCCGCCGGCGAGGTCGGCCTCGCCCACCAACGGCGAGGCTCGGCCCGCGGCGGCCGGGCGAGGTCGGCCTCGCCCCGGCTGGCGAGGCCGAGCCTCGCCCGGTGCCGGCGAGGTCGGCCTCGCCCAAAGAACGGCGAGGCCGAGCCTCGCTAGCGGCACGGCGGGGCCGGCCTCGCCGCCCTCGCCTCTGGCCGGTCGCCGGACCGGCGACCGGCCGGAGGTTGAAGGTGAAAAAAAAAGAAAAGAAAAGAAAAAAATTCGAAAAAATAAAAAATAATATTAAAAAATTGGATGAATAGTAAACGGGGTAGATTTGGGATAAAAGTAAAAGTTTTGGGTTTTTTATGAGATAAAAAAAAGTTTGGGATATAATTGGGACAAATGCTAAAGTTGGGGGTTTTTTAAGGAATTGGGCCGATAATCATGTAAACAAATAAAGTGGTACCGCAAGTCAATTTTCACGCACATGATTAAATTTAACTCTCCAATCTGGTCAAAGGCAAGTCATCGAACGTTTGGACTAGAGGATCCACTCCCAACTAATTTTTTGAAATGCTCAATGTGCCGGAAAGAGGAGTCTGCTGCTTTACGATATTAGGACGGCTTATACGATGGAGAGATCTTAACATAAAAGTATTGAATGTATGTGTGCATCTACGCTGTGATGGGTCGTGTCATTATCTTTTAATGATGGTCTTGTACTTCATTAGGGTTTGCATCGTACGAATGAAAATTTTTCAAGAAGTGACGTGTAAATTTACGCAAGGCACACAAGCCCTAGCTAGTTATCTGATACTGTTTAACAAGGTGGACTTTTCCAATATCCAGCGCCGGTTTTCTCCTCATACATCAGGCTTCATTTATTGAAAAGAATGGATAGAGTCGTCGTCGAAGGCAATGATGACACTGGTACTCACTAAGATCTTGTGGAGTTTATGGTTTTCCATAGTATGCTCAGCTGATATTTGACGTCGATGTTTGCTCATCCAGACATATATACATCAACCTTCAAAACCTAGGCAACGGGAAAATTACCAAAAAAGTCCTAAACCTTTTGCATTTGTATCAATTCAATCATAAACCTTTTTTTTTTGCCATTTCAGTCCTAAACCTTTTGCAATTGTGTCAATTCAATCCATCTGACCACTTTTGGCCGGCCGGCGTTGTCTTGGACGCCGGCTGGCGCTCGCCGGCGCCGACCAGCTGATGTGGCATTATTTTAATATTTTTTTCCTTTCTTTTTTTTTTTCTTTCCTTCTTCCCCTGGCCGGTTCGGCCAGGGGGAGGCTCGCCGACAAGGTGACCTTGCAGGCCATGGCGAGGCCGACCTCACCGACCATGGGTAAGCTCGACCTTGCCTGGCCATGGCGAGATCGAGCTCGCCGGCCATGGGCGAGGTTGAGCTCGCCCGGCGACGGTGAGGTCTCGCCAGGTCTAGGCGAGACCTCGCCGTCGCTGGGCAAGCTCGACCTCGCCCCGCGATTGCGAGGCGACGCCCTCGCTGGGCGAGCTCGACCTTGCCCGGCCATGGCGAGGTCGAGCTTGCCGATGGCCAGTGAGCTCGACCTCACCCAGCGACGGCGAGGCCTTGCCCAGATCTAGCGAGACCTCACTGTCGCCAGGCGAGCTCGACCTCGCCCATGGCTGGCAAGCTCGACCTCACCTTGGCCGGATGAGGTTGGCCTCGCCATGGCCGGCGAGGTCACCTCGCCGGCGAGTCTCCCACTGGCCGGACCGGTCAGGGGGGAAGAAGGAAAGAAAAAAAAAGGAAAAAATATTAAAATAATGCCACGTCAGCGCCAGCCGGCCAAAAGTGGCCGGATGGACTGAATTGGCACAATTGCAAAAGGTTTAGGACTGAAATATCAAAAAAAAAAGTTTAGGACTGAATTGGCATAATTACAAAAGGTTTAGGACTTTTTTGGTAATTTTCCCCCGAGACAACAACAAACCATAGCATGTCTAAAGCAAGGGATCTGGGATATACGACCCGGTCTCGGCCTTTTAATTGTGAAGGTTCTGAGATGATACTATATCAAAATTGACCAGAAACAGCAAAAAAGAGCTTAGAGATTTATCTGGTGTGCTTCATGCAATCCATGGTTACATGGAGATCAATGAGATTTCTAAAGATCGAAAAGAAAATTGCGATCTCGAGTTTCAAAACTAGCCCTTAGGGACAATTTTTCTCACAAAAGCATTAGCACACATCAATGGCCGTATTGCAACAAACTTAAGCTTAACTCTCATAAATAAGGTAAGTCTAAACGATCGCACAGAAGAAAGAAATATTTTAATGTTTAAGAGGATTTCGTTAAACAGTGCTCCAAAGACACTTGTCAAACGACTAATAAGAGAATTTTATAGTTCTTTCCTATGTATCGTTGGTCACCATATTAGGTGCAATCAATGTTTATTTAAAATAGCAAATGACCCAAATTAGTTGTATCTGATATAGAATTAACTCACGACAAAAGCAAAACATGCGATCTCAATAGCAAAGGATCTCAGACATGGTTCGTAGAAAGTGAGATGATTTCCTTGGAAGGATCTAAACTGAAGAGTCCATATGATAAAGCAAGGGAGATGCAAAGCATTTATTAACAAAGTGATGGCCTTAACCAGTTAAAAATACACAGACGAAAAGCTCACATGCAAATTAAAGATTATAACAAAAACTTTTGGAGTCGATAGATATATGAATATAAACATTCACTCACTATACATTTCGTAGTTTTCGGGCAATACATTTCAATTATGAGCTAATAAACATATAGAGAAGATACTATATCACTCTCAATATTGCGACCAACTTCAGTTAAATCATCCACTTGGGCATATCACTATCGTTCTCACTATACAGCGATGGACGAGCTGATACCAATCCAATTCCAATTCTACTCACTGACATCAACTCGACCCTCTCTCTCTCTCTCTTTCTCTCTCTCTCTCTCTCTCTCTCTCTCTCTCTCTCTCTCTCTCTCTCTCTCTCTACATAGACATGAGATGAAAGGAAATATTAAATGGAGCTCAAATGCCACTCCACTCAGATTTTCAAAACCTTCAAAAAAAGAGCAACCACAAACCCTAAAAAGACAGAAGAAATAATAGTATGCAACTGCAGGCACGAACAAAAACAAAAACATAAAAACAAAAATCACACAGAGATCTCTACACACGAGTGGTGGAGATCCAATCTCTCCACAATCATTCTCACGCTTCAAACTTTAAAAAAAGGAAGCAGCAATAATAATAACATTAAAAATAATGATGCTAATAATAATAAACAACACCAAAAAGTCAATCCCAACCCACGCTCTCTTATTCATTGTCCCTCTCCTTTTCGCCTTCTCCTTGCAACACCCCAGAGACGCAAAAACATTCATCAAACGCCCACTTTTCCACAGCAATCTTTCTACTAAAAGTTTGCTGTAGACACACTTTCATGCATTAAAACGTAATTGCACCGACTATCTAGTGTATCTCTATAGCGGGCTTATATAGTTTTTGACCTAGCTAGGTCGAGCTTGCACGGTTTTCGTTGCCTCGAGGGGAGTCTTGAGCTTGGGATTGATGCTTGCTGTGTCACCTCTGAGGAACACGAACGATGGCTGCAACAACAACCAAGGAGAGATGGAGAGCTTTTCGATTGGAGATGGCGTTGGCGGTGACTTCCCTGACTTCTCCGATGGAAGCCTGCTGGACAGCATAGACTTCGATGACCTCTTCATGGGGATACACAATGGGGACGTGTTGCCAGACCTGGAGATGGACGCGGAGCTGCTTGCCGAGTTCTCTGCCAGCTGTGGTGAGGAGTCGGGGACAGGGTGCTCGTCGATATCGGTCGAGAAGGCCGAGGTCGACAACGGCTCCAAGAGAGAAGTCAACGATGATAAGGCCTCGGAGCTGGATAACATCTCTAGCGTGAGCCGAGGGGAAGAAATTGTGAGCAAGAGGGATGAGTCTGTGGTGGTCAATCCAGTCCTTAATAACAATAAAGAGTCTGACAACAGGGGAAAGAAATCATCAGCTCAATCATCCAAGAGTAACCCTCAAGCTCATGGGAAGCGAAAAGTGAAGGTAATTAAATGATGATGGGTGTATTTTCTTTCTTTCTTTCTTTCTTTTTTGCCTTTTTGAGTAATGCTAAATAGGTCTAGAAGTCGGTATGCATTTATACTTCATGAGGTAGATAGATGGCATTCACGTGAACCTTTGGAGCTTTTGGAGCTTTCTCGAGCAAGATCTGCAAGTCCCAGCGCTTCTCAGCGTGAAAAGAAAGAGCTAAGAACCCGCAAACAGCAGCTCATCTGTTCCAAAAGACTAATCGTATCTTCAAAGTCTCAAGTAATTCGTATGAATTCTTGAACGAATATATCTCCTCTAACAAGTTTCGGGTTTATTTCTTTTTCGGGAAGTGAGTGAAATCTAGGGTTTCATTCTTTTCTTTGACTTTTTACTTTTTAGCTTTACTCAAATTTAATATCTTGAAGTGTGTGACATGTATATAGGTGGATTGGACGCCAGAGTTGCACAGGAGGTTTGTACAAGCAGTGGAGCAGCTTGGGGTGGACAAGGCGGTGCCTTCAAGAATCCTGGAGCTCATGGGCATCGATTGTCTCACACGTCACAACATCGCTAGCCACCTCCAAGTACTCGTCTCTCTCTAGTCCTTCAATAATTGATTTGCGTATGTTCATATGTAATAGTACATGATAATGCTCATGGCATGAATTGCTGACTTTTTTTCTCTCCAATGGGCGGACGTCAACTTTCTTTCTTCTTTCTGTGTTTGTGTCTGTGATAATCAATGCGAAAGCAAAATGATGCATTGCTTCTTCCAGTTTCGTGAAAATGGGGTTTGGAGAATTAGAATATCCTGAAAAGGCATATGGTAATATGAAGAAGGTGGGTTTCATTCCAAATCCGTGAGAAAGTTGAGCTGGAGCCTTTGCATCTTTTCTCGTGGACAGAAGAGTCTGCTAAGAATAGGCAAACAGTTGGAGAGGGAGAGAGATATAACTCTTAGCTGCGCAGTTCATCAGATTATTCCCATAGCTTGCCGAAGGCAGTTTTTCAAGAGACACTCTGTCTCCAAATTTATATTTGAATCTGTTAAAAAAAGGTTAACAATAATCTCCAGGAGTCGAGCTAAAAAGGTTTTTCACTTTTCATGTTTATCTACTTAAGCTGATGAGTCGATGGCTTGATATAGGAGGGGAAGTAGAGTAAATGCACAATTTCTCCCTTTTCAACAGAAGTTTTGAGCAGCTGCATAGTCGCAACAAAAATAATTTGCTGAATTTTATTGTTAACAGAAGTATAGATCGCATAGAAAGCATATGCTGGCTCGTGAGGCGGAGGCAGCGAACTGGAGTCAGAAGCGACACATGTACAGCAATGGAGGCCCCAAGATGAGGCCAGACACAATAGTGATGATGAGCCACACCACCACCCCCACCACCAACGCGAGTCCTTGGCTCGCACCGCCCACCCTCGGATTCCCACCCGTGACCCCCATGCACCCCCACTTCCGACCCCTCCACGTGTGGGGCCACCCTTCCGCTGACCAGTCCCTCATGCACGTGTGGCCCAAGCACTCACCTTCCCCGCTGCCGCCACCTCCGTCCGCCTGGGCCGCCCCACGGCACGGCGCTGCTCCCCCGGAGACCCCATTTTGGCGTCCGCACGGCCACCAACGGGTAAGACTCAGACCTGATTCCATTTTCTTATAAGTATCCCATTCCATTAGTTAACCCTCCTTCCGTGCGTAATGAATTAATGATGTTCTGAGCTATAGCGAACCGTTCGAGAGTTGTGTAGCTAGTCCTGTGTTTCACATTGCCCGATACTTGAATTCGGGTCGACGAACATCATCGAACACCCACATCCAAGTATCAAACCGGGTCATTTTTTAACGTGCATGGACATGAATACGAGTCATTATTAGCTAAGCTCGATTTCAACTGGGTCATACTAGTAATCTCCAGTATTTCATCTAACCAGGAGCTTGAGTTTCTCTCGAATTAACCCCTATCTCCAAATTCTTTAAGTTGACTCAGAATTCGAATAACACATGCTACTGTAAACTACAGCAATGACATCGACTTTGTCCTTTTTCTTGTCCTCATATATATGTAGCGGCTTATTCTCTTCGAGTTGGTGGTGGTGCAGGTGCAGGTGCCAAATCCGCCAATACCGGGAACGCCGTGCTTTGCCCAACCAGCCCTGCCAACGACGGTGACTACTCAGTCCTTACATTTTATATTTTTCTTCTTTTGTAGCTTAGCATCGTCCAACAAAAAGCCGATATGCTCGCATCATTGACGTGTACCCAAGTATGGTCACGGAGAGAGTAAATTTCGACCTATGTCGGACGGCCTCAATTATTGCAGTCGAAATTTTTCTTCTGCAGAGATTCGGAGCTCCACCAGTGCCGGGCATTCCACCCCACGCCATGTACAAATTCGATAGAAATAGCCATAATAATAACAACAATAATCGGGGCTACGGCGTGCCACCGGGACCATTGGCCTCTCATCCTCCCTTCAATTTTCATCCGGTTAGTACTGGTTTGCTGTATTGTTTCTTATTTGTGGAGCGTTGCCCTTGATCTTTAGCTTTGGTTTTCGATGGGGTACTGTTAGTTTGCATTGACATATAAATGTCTAGTAGGCTAGCAGCCAAGTTTAATGTGCATATAGACTCTCCTTGGTCAATGCTCGATGGTTTGAGCACACGATTGGCTGATTTTTCGACACGGTATAACTAATTCGTGTCCATGCCATATTTAGTAGCTTAAAGTCTCACGGACACTTTTGGAAATAGTTGATGAGAAGCTTTCTATTGCCTCGTGGAGGATAAGAAGCGTCAAGGATGTAAATTAGATTCGTATACGGAAACTAATTTATAATGTGATGTGACGGATTTTTCATTGTATATGTGAATAAGAGTCACATGTTCAAATACACATCTCTGGTTTATCAGATTACCGTGTGAATCAATCGAGCAAACTGATCTTCTTATCTTTAGCATTACTCAAAGGATATCCGTTTTTTGTCGTTACAAATGCCTTGAAGAAAAAACTCAAATTCTTCATGCTATTAACTTAGGCTCATAATGCATGTTTATTATCCGTCTTTGAATTCTCACCGGAAGAATCTCCCACTTCCAAGTAATGAAAATAAGATGCAGCCTGTGAAAATGAGTCCCTAGCTGATTTATACAATAAGCTTTAAGCTTTTCTTGCATATTATGCATCAACTTTGCAATTGCATGACTGACGAATTTTCCATATGGGTACCTAGGTTTATGCGTTTGATGAACACTCGAAGGAGACGATAGACGCAGCTATCGGAGATGTTTTATCAAAGCCGTGGCTGCCGCTTCCTCTCGGTCTGAAGCCTCCTTCCACGGACAGTGTCTTGGGAGAGCTTCAACGCCAAGGAGTACCCAAAATCCCAACTTCTTGTGCTTGAAAAAACCCTAAAGGGCATCCTTCGGTTGCAGAATTTGTGCCCCCATGGCGCTTTCAAGGCATCGAAAACCCTCAAATTCGACGACATTTCCTGCATTAGATGCAAACATCTAATCGGCGAGTACCCACTTTTTCCCGACCTTTTCCGTGCTCATTTGTAGCTCAATCGGTTGCCGGGGATGAAACCATTTCCAAATAACATGTCTTCGTCTTTTTCCCCCTCTTTTTGTAGTGGTTGTTGTGGATGTGGAGACTGATCTCGTGGCCCTGTGAATTATCTAATTTAAAGAGTTACCCTGTTTGCTTCTCAAGAAGTTATTTACGGTATAGTTCAAATTTGTATAGTTTGTGATTGCTGACGACTTGGCTAAACTGTTGTTTAGCTAGTTGCAATCCATAATTCTCGTGCTATGAGTTTCTTCACGTTGTGTAATGTTGGAAAACGTTAGCTATCTAATCATAAGTTCATGGATTAATTCTGTCTATAAGTATGAGGGATTATGTCAAATGAATAGACAATGATAAATCAGAACAGGCTTCACTTATGCATATAAGAATGGTCATAGTATGTGGGTGCATATGATCAGAAGTCTGTACGGCGGAGACCTGCTTCCCGCCAGCGCATGCTACTGCATATGGCCACCATTGTGTCCAAGCACGCTGACGCTCACCAATGCATTTGCACGCTACCGTCGTCGCAATATATGGATGTCCGTCCATCTCTCTCTCTCTCTCATGCACGCCCACACCGGCGCATTCGCGCACCAAGTATGTTTGGTGCAACTCTAACCGTGTTAAAGTCTTATGATTTTTTGGTTGTGTAGTGATACTTTACGGCTCATGTTTTAGCGAAGTAAATTTCATAGCTGCAGCATCTCAACTTCTTAAAAACGGCTATGAAATATCTGTTGCCGTGAAGATACTGTGATTATAAGGTATATCTGCAAACACCTTATAAAGATTGCGGAACTCTCTTTTTCATAATTGTAGCTGCTGCAAAATGTCTGTACCAAAGGACAATATGCAAAGCCTAATTAGATACGTTGAATAAGTGTTTGCGAGGGTGTTCGTCGAAAGAGTTCCCCCTCGGATAATATGATTAGGAATCGATGGAGTGAATTAAGAGATCGAATCGGCTCATAACTCGATAGCTCGGCTTAGTTACATGATGCACGATAAACCTTTTTCTCAACTAAATTGATAAATCTGGCTAGAGTTTCTTTTCCGTTTGTTTCCTTTGTTGCAATAAGAGGATATATGATGGGCGCGAGGTCCCATCTCATGTCAAAGTGACTTTGAGGTATCATGCTTTTGATCAGAGCCAGATAAGTATTATCGCGAAAAATATTGCATGGTTTATAGATCATGCGGACCGCCACATACCATTGCTCGTGTGAACCCGTGGTGCCTCTACACGATTAGTTGTTTGAATGGTATTGACATGCATGCTCAATACCCCATGCAGCAACTTCTCTTGGCACGTGTTGGGGCCGAAGATGCCACGCGGTAACTAATGATATGACCTCGACAGGCCATCATTGGACGCACCCGGATCAGGTGATTGGAGTTACACATCCGCCGTTAGAGCATGCAAATCCCATGCGGAGGCTCGGGTCGGCTCCGTTCGGCACATCTAATGATATATGTGAATCTGGCTCCCGTGCACCCGACGCGGTGAAGCACGAATCCGAGGTCGAAGAGGGGAACTCGGAGAAGAAGGGAGAGCCACCAGAGGGAGAGGAGAGAGAGTGGGTTCCTCCCCCTCCCTTCATCTTCAATGGGATGAATGGACCGTACCCTAAAAATCCAACGTCGAAGCCATCGGAGCCGGCGTGGCAAGTCAAGCCCCACGCATTCATTCGCGCCTCCTATCCTTTACACGTGGACAGCAACTAGAATAGACATTCTTGTCTTAACTGAAAACTCCACAAAGAAGCGAGAGAGATGTGTATGTCTATGGTATGTGATAAGGAGAAGACTTGCTGTTTTTCAAGTACAACTTGGTCATAATTGTAGCTCCAAGGGCCAAATCTGACTTGCAGTGCTATTCGGATCGGTGCGAGTATGGGAAATTTATCCCCCCCCTTCCCTGCGTTTCCTTTTTCTTAAAAGGAAGTAATTCGAGTGCGGCGATAACCTTTAAAAAAATTTGATCAAAAAATTTTTAGCTGATCGGTAGAAAAAGATCACTTTAAACCCGTTGTCAAGCAATGTGAGACGATATTTCAACACTCCCTCTCGCGTGCAAACCGAATTAGGAGCCGGCACGTAAAATTCAATCGATGGGGTAGATGCACATACGCGAAAGGAACAAAGTTCTAATACCATGTTAGAATACCAAATCTAAAAACTTAAACGGATTGATAGAGGAAGACCACACATGACCTATTATCAAGCGATGTGGAATAATATATCACTAATAACTTTGGTAAATAACTGTTGGTAAATTCTTGGAACTATCGGCAAATTCGAAACAATTAAGTAGAAGTTTGTATACGGACTCATATATCAGTCCGTAGTTTTCTGTAAAACTTATTAAAACGCACGAATAAATATTGATAATCTATGGAAATGGTTGGTAATTTGAAACAATTAGATGATCCTTCATGCTTTTCACAAATTTATTGGTGACTTACGAATGTATGACAGGCCTTTATAATTGTTGGTACTTCATAAAAACCGTCGGTAAAGTTACCAACACCTTAAATGCCGAAAGAGAAATGATTGGATGACAGTATTTAATCTACTATGAAAATAACAATCTGTTTTGGGCCACAAAAAAATAAATGACAAAGAGAAATGGTTGCATGACGGTCTTTAATTTACTGTGAGAAAAACAGTCTATTCTAGATCACAAAAAGAATTAATAACAAATAATTATAAATTGATGCGGCATCAACTTCTTCAAGAATTTGTGACTCACAATATGCTACTACTCTCACAGTGACCAAAAAATTGTTATGCTAGCAAAGCCTAATGACAAATAATTATGAATTGTTGTAGGGTTCACTCCTTCAAGAATCTGTGACTCACAACATGTTATTATTCTCACGGTGGCCAAAAGACTGCTATGCTAGCAAAGCCCAATGTGAAATAAGTCGCCGATCGGATATGAGTTTAGGATTCCACTTCCATCTTTCTCTTTCAAGAACTTTATATAATCAACTATAAATGAGACGTGAATGTTTTTTTTTTTTTTGGTCGAGGACGTGAATGTTGAAGTGCTTAAAAATTACCGGTGAAGTTGTCTTCTTTGGTTGAAGGTTTGATGAGTTGGATCAGTTAAGTCCTTACAAAATCCAATTTATCCAAACATCAATTGTTAAGTCTCCACTGGCATTGAAATAATTAAATGAAAAAAATTGAGAATAGAAATTTTTAGGGTCGTATCAAACGCATTTCTATTTTTTTTTATTCGGGAAATAGAAATTTTGTATAGTTACCAAGCATATTCTTCTGCTCAGAAACTCGTCCGGAGAATAAAAATAGAATAGACCGTTTTTGAAAAGAAAATATTTCCGGGAACAGAAATGTTACCGTATGCACCCTTAGATACCGACGAGTTTTGAAATTCACCAACGCTTTTAAGGAATTACCGGTATGGCACGCTAAAAATCTGAGATGGGGATAGGGCTGCAGCCCGCAGATGGGTCGTCGGCTCGGAGCCTTTGGAATGGGCCCTTAAACAGCCCATGCATACCCCAAAACTGAATATAAGAATCGCTTTTATCGTCTTTTTGTCAGTGAAATCTAGAGAAATGATAATAGAACTACGACTGTTTTGAGTGCATAAAGGCGATGTCTAGTTCTATAATTTTCCTGTCTTACCGGCAGATTGATGTGCATGAGAGATTAACTCCGGGGTACTTAAAAACTGAAGCATAATCAAGCGTACATTAACATATGTCTCACCAATCTAACGCAATATTTCAGTGAATGCTGCATTAGATTTGGCTGAATCATTAAAACTAGTGGTCCTTCCGTTATTTTTATACCAGGGAGCATCCACTCTAAGCAGACGGGATAACCGGCCCGTTAATAATATCGATGCATTTCGGCTCAATGGTCTGGTTCGGGCCGGTTCCGATGCCCATACTTGATCCTATTTCGTGAATCAACTTTTAACAATTTCCAGAATCAAATTGGCGCGGTAGTTCTTAGGCTGGAGAGGCTCGATCGCCGGGTCTGTTCTTGCCACAAAACCGTGCCAAGCCGATCCGATCCGATCCGATCCGGGCTCGCTCATGAATCAGGTCTAAGTCGAAAGCCGTGTCTAATCAAATCGATGGTCCGCGGGGATGGGCTTTCACCCTTGATCCTAGAATGGGGGCAATGTCGAGATCAAAGCACGCTGCCCCTGCGTTGAGGCCCATCAAACCCCTCAAGAGAAAGCCTTTCCATCTCATCCTCAGTCCTCTCCAATCAAAAGTCAAAGTTGCTGTTTCAATTAACCAATCAAGCACAGTAACACAGAGTCAACAGCTTTGAAATCATTGCACCAAGGCCCACCTTCTATTTGACTAAATATGCCCGCCTTTTCCTCCAATCATGGCGCTTCCAAACCGAGGATTATTTTGCTTTGCTTCAGGGAGCGTCAACAGACAAACCACCCAAGTTTCGCTTTATAATTCGTCTTCCACAATCACTGAGTCGTAGAACCTGCCTGCTTTTCCCCCCTGTTGAATACAGATCTGGTCTCGCTGGTGTACATAATGAATAGCTACAAATGATCAAGGCAATCGACCGTCGAGCTAGGAAACTTCGACTTCATGCCAAACAGCCGTATGTAGGACAAGCACAGTCCGTGTGGTGGCCTAAATTCACTTTCAATAGGATTAGCAGCAAGTTAGTGACGGCTTCAAGCTTGGCGTTGCGTCGAGATTGTCAGGATTAAGCGTACAAATACAACGAAAAGAGCGTAAAGGAGAGAAAGATATATCGAGACACAACATTTATCCTGATTCATCCTTAAATGAGGGCTTAAGACTTAGAGCTCTTCTGTGACGAGAAACTTGGTGTCGAGATACCGATTTTCGACCACGTGTTGAGTAACAATTGTCGAACGCTAGCTATGCTAACGCTACCAAACATCGGCTGGATTGGAAGCCAAATGAAGTGATACAAGACATAGGGTTCTTCTGCGATGAGAAACTTCCCCCACCAACCCCATGATTACAGGGAATTCAAGCTTTCAATCCGACAGAATCATCTCTCTTTTCTTTCTTCTTTTCTCCTTTTTCTCTTTTCCCCCCCTCTCCTCCACTTAGATGCCCAACAAACTTCAACTGCTACGAAGGTGAAGACGTAGGACCCTCCAAAAGTCTCGATTCCAATCGAGTGGCTTCAGCAAAAGCAGACGAAGGAGGTGCCTTCCTTTGATAACCAGAAAAAGAAAAATTGCAGCTCTTTTGACCGTGACTCCATGCTGCTCCATTAATCTAGTGTAGGTCTCTCTCCTGCTGGACACTGTCAAGAAATGCACATGGAGCGTGCGCTACGTGACATGATGTCTGTACCCCACAAGCCCCTTTTATCTCCCTCAATCCCCGCATCATTCCTCGGCCAAATTTTTCTAAAGGGAGAGCTTCTATAAAAAGAGGACTGAGCAGACGTCTCACATAGGAGCGGTATAGTGAACACCAGCTAAGTTCACCATTGTGTCTCTTTTTGCGCTGTTTCTGGATCTGTAACCCCAAAATGGCAGCCTCAACGAAAGGCCTCTCTGTTCTATTCCTTGTGCTGTTGGTCCTTGCCCATTCCCATGTCCAAGCTAGAGAGAGCAAATTCTTCAGCAAGGTCACTCACTCCACCAATGTGGCAACCAGCGATCACGTCGAAGAGAAGAAGCTGGCCCAGATCGAGATCCCTGCGGCTGCTCCGGAGTATAGCCTCACGCCTGGCCCTGCCCCGGCTTATGTTGAGAAGGAGTACGGTTACGGCCTGTACGGCCACGACTCCGACATGCTCCCACCGGCTAGAGAGACGTTCACTCCTGTGACCACCGTCGCCGCCACCACCACCACCACCAATGTCAACGAAAAGCAAGCCACCGCCACTCCGGCCACTGCCACCGCCAATAAGGACAACAACCTTGAGGACCAGTTCGTGCGCGAAGAGCTCAGCGGCGAAAGCTTCCAGACAGGCTACACGAACAACAACTACAACTACGACAACAACAATGGCTACTCCAACAATGACAACTACAACAACAACAATGGCTTCTCCAACAACTACAACTACAATGGCTACGCAAACACCAGGGAAACCAATGGATACGCCAACAACTACAACACCAACGCCTTCACGAGCACGTACAGCACCACCGACCAGTCCGAGAATTACAACACAAATGGATACTCCGGCAACGCCAACAGCAATGGCTATGGGACAGAGAGACAAGGGATGAGTGACACCAGGTACGTGGAGAATGGCAAGTACTCCTACAATGTGAAGAGCGACAACAGTTATCTCAATGGGTATGAGCCAGAAAAGGCAGCTACCGGGAAGCAAGGGATGAGTGACACCAGGTACTTGGAGAATGGCAAGTACTCCTACAATGTGAAGAGCGACAACAGTTATCTCAATGGGTATGAGCCAGAAAAGGCAGCTACTGGGAACTATGTCAACTACGACGAGAACAGTTCGAACTCGAACGAGTTCGATACCATGGAAGAGTACTACAAGAAGCAGGGGTACCAAGAGAGCCAAGAGGTGAACGAGCCTTGAGAGCAGCGATCGGTCCGTGAGCGATTGAGAGAGAGAGCTCTGGACATGGATTGCAGAGTAGGAGATTAAGCTAAATTAAGAAAGAGAGGATGTGTGTTCGTTGTGTTGATGTTTCCAAAGTTGTTTTTTTTTTTCCTCTTGGGCACTTTTTATTGATTTGCATATGGAAGAATGATACGAGTTGCTTGCAACAATTGATGTTCTTAAGAGTATTGAATGCTTTAAAAAGAGCAGAACTTATGGAAATGCTTTCATCTTGATAGCAAGCAGCTTGTCCCGATGTCGGTCTTTTTTAACCAAGTTCCCTTTGATGATGATGATACACAAGCTAATGAGACCGGGTCTGGGCAAAGGCCTAATCTTGGGCTTAACCCATCAACTGGAGACCTGCATATATCTCACAAAGCTCAGCTCCAGCCCGCTAGTTATTCACGTCTCTCAATTACAGTTGATTACGTGAACTGTAGTCCTTCTCATTGAACTCTTCTCTCTGCAACCCTACCTCCTTTCATCACCAAGTGGTTCTCCCAGTGAGAAGCTTTTCAGTGGAAAAAGAGCATTCTCAAACCAACCGGGCATTCACTGGATCGATGCGCTTTTGTGTAAGAATTTTAGGCATCACTCATTAATTAGTTTCCTTTCATCTGGATTTCGAATGAGGCTAGTTTCCTTCGCCCAGCAATATGAAACAATCGATGATCCAGAGTCTCAGCTAAGCTAATTCATTGTGAAGCTTGAGTTGAGTATGTCGTAATCCCAAGCAGACCAATCGCCACATTCCACCGTCAGACCATTAATTTCAGAAACAGCTTAGGTTTTCCCTACTCCTACCCTCTACATCCAATGTTCTACACAATCTAGCGTGGTTGATAACTTCACATTAGACCTTTATTGCTCGTGTAGCCGGAATAGTTAGCGTGTTTTTCGTTCTCATCCCCCAAGTGCACCGACCCATGTCCTTCACCCCCATCTCTTCTAGTAAACAACGATCTAATCCCAACTTCATCAACAAAATGCAATAGATAAAGAGACATTTAGGTTCAAAAGAGGCAGAAATTCACGATGTCTTTGTGCATCCGCAAAGCCTAGTTTGAACCGTACTAGTGGGGAAGTTCCACATATAAAGTTTCAAAGAGGTAGAAGTTATGATCCATCAGATTTGCCGTATCTCGCCTGGATGCATCAGCAGTTGGCACATACATTACACGATAATGAATCGATCTTAAAAAGACCATCAAAAGGTTTGGAAGAGAGAAGTGCACAAAAGCATCATTTTATAAACAGAGTCACTTAAGGAGTAAAAGAAAAAGGACAGACCAGCTCTCCACGTAACTGATACCACCACTTAATTCGTCTAAATTCAACGTCACGACAGCATAGAACGATATTTAACCACGTAACTTTTTTTTTTTTCGGAAATCCAATGAGTTACCCAGTCAAACTTCCATCTTTTACACCAAGCATAGCAATATCCCCAAAAGCTTATCCAGGAAACCTATTGTGCAGGACATTCATCATAACCATTCCCAACGAACTCTTGATGGCCAGGGAAAAACAATCTCAAGCCTCTAATGCCTCCCTTATATTCACCTCCACAGATGCCGAATCACTCTTCAGTAACATTGACAAGTTCATACTCGACCAAAGACAGATTATTGTCCTCCTTAACTTCGAAACTGGCAGGTTCGGTGACTTCAACACGCCCCCATTTGTCAACTGCCAGCCTCATAGTCCCCTTAAACATGTCGATTTTCGCATTACGAAGAATCACAGTGGTGCCTGGCTTCATCATATCAACTGCAAAATATCGAATTAATACATTGTAAGATTGACACATATGGACATCCATGCATCAATGAGTAAATACAATGAACCTAAATGAAGATATCGATTTGAAAAAAAGAATGAAAAATATAACGACATAGGAGAATAGCAATAACACAAAACAATTCTATCATCATTCACCAACAGAGAAATCTCTTATTATGATCTCTGTGAATATAGAGAAGGCGGAGTCGGAGAAGCAAGGTCAAATTTCAGTGGCACAATAGAAACTAACAAATGATGCATTGGAAAGTGAAGGAACCCAATTGAAAATATCACAGTACAGAGATGCAGCCCAGATATCTAGGCAATCAGAGATCTAAAAGATAGGGAACGAAAAATCAGCTGTCGCATACTATAGCGTGCTAATTCACTAATCATTTAACTATTCCTCATTTTACATGAATTCAGTCACAATTTCCATTCTTTTCCACTAGTCCACCTCTAAAGACAGAAGATTATCACGATAAGAGTACAGCCAAAGGGCACTCACAAAATCCACATAATCGACAGAGGCAGTTTAAAATCCTTAGGAACAAGGATTTCTAGGTGTTGTTGTCCTCTCAGCAGCACAGCCGCAAGATATAGTAGCTATTGACGGGGAAACGAAGAAAATTATAAACTACTGCCTCAATTTTTCCTGCTGAAATCAATATAACTACAGCTGCAACTGACTGTAAGCATAGCTCAGCACATTTTGTTCTTTTTTTGGTCGAATAGCTCAGCACTTCGCGCAAATGAAAATGAGGAACTTTTAGCTCATCACAGTTGTAATTGATCATTGTTAAAAGTAGCATTCAACCTGAAAGGTCATGCCACAAACAATATAAGATAGTGTCCACATGTTCAAAGCACTGCACTGTGCTGAAAACGTATGAACAAATCCTTCAACTGCTGGCGCAAAAGTAAAATATTTAAGCAGATCGAGGGGATGCATCTTGTCCCCCAGGCAACGGATGAGTAGCGCGCCAAAGGGTCCAATTATCCAGCTAAGGCCAGCCGAACGTGTAGCATTCACAGTAATTCAAATTAAGGGAGTAGTTTCATAATCGAGAGGGCCCTGCGTCGGCGCTCAGAAATGGACATACCAAAGGAACATTTTGCAGCTCCAATGTCAGGTCTTCCTAGAATAACCTTTTTCTCCGTCCGAATGCTACTTTTTGACAACTATCGAGTATAGGTACCATCATGAGCTCCACATTTCCTACTCGCACACGTCTTTGTAGCTGTTCATTTTCTTGGGGATCTAATCTTTCTTTTCCTTCATTTTGAACTCTGAACACATGTAAGTTCTGATACTCTTTCACAAAAACGCAAATCCAGAACAGTAAGATACTATAGGGAAAGTCAAAACTTCTACACGAAAGTGGACAAAGGCACCGAGGGTAAGGGAAAATCCGACCCCAATGGTCGCCAGAGGTAAGCCATCATCAGAAGCCAAAAATCAACTGAAGCAACCAAAGGAATCAAGAGCGCTCTCAACAGGACGCGAAACGGCAACAGCAGCCCACGCGATCGGACCAACAAGCACACGGCGGCAAGCAAAGAAAAAAACCCTAATATATACCTTGCTCGTTGCGAGCGGTGAAGACGATGGAGCCGGTCTCGTCCCCGACGAGGCACTCGGCGATGCGGGTGTTGCGCGGGGGCGGGCGGGAGAGCACGGCATTCGACGACGGCCGGTTGGCCCTGGCGTTGACCGCCACGCCCCTGGAGCTGACCACCTTCACGGTCAGGGTGTGGCCGTTCGTCCCGGGCTGGAGGCGATCGACCTTGGTGAAGACCGGCTTCCGCTTCTCCACCACCGGTGGGGGCGGGGGCGCCGCGCTGCCGGCGGGGGTGGCGCCCTTCGCCGCCGCCGACGAGGTCTTGCTGGCCATGTCGCCGGAATCCGCGGCGAAAGCGACGATCTTGTGGAGAAATGGAGGGAGAGGGAGGGGGAGAGGGAGGGGGAGATGATCGGAGACGAAGAGGTTTTCTAGGGTTTTCGAAGGGGGAGGGGGAGGTGGTATGATTTTGATCTGCTGTATTTTAAAGTTGCGGAATATTTTTTTTTTTTTCTTTTGGGGTAAAGTTTTGCTGTGGGGACTGAGGCTATGATACTGTGGGGGCGGGACCAGCTGAGCATTTCCCGATGTGCCACGTGTCTAGAGAGCATTGGCCGATGGAGCATATATATATGTGTCAGGGGCCTCCAATCTCATGAGAAAAGCCCAATGGACCTCCAGGACATTTTTTTTTTTTTCCTCTCTTTACTTTTTGAAAAGTGCGGCCTAAAAACCCCCCCCAATGGAATCGACAATATATCCGATTTTACCGATTTTTGCTTAGGATCGAAGTCGAGGAAAGGTTCGGGATGCATTGATTGAAAGTCTATAATGATTCGGTATTCATATGATAAATCCGATGATCGGATGGCTCCACAACCGGTTGCGCTTTGCAAATCCACCGTCGTCGTGATATTCGCGGTCGAGTTGAGCAAGCTAGGCCTATATTTTGATCTTCTGGTTTGGCGATTTTCCGGCTGAAAATGTCCGCCCAAAAAGGAGGAAAGAAAGGTGAAATCTCAAAAGATATCATGTAGCAGCAGAGGTACTGCTAATGAATGGTTGAAATCAAATGCTTAAAGATTAAGAAAAGCAGGGGGGCACACAAAATGAAGGAACTCCAACATATGCTGGAAGGCACGACACCATTCCTTTCAAGTCGGTAAAAGAAGCGAGTACAAAGTTGGTCAATATCCTTCAACAGCAAGTAACTGAGAGTTGCTCTCTATGAGTGAGAGATAAACAGATTAGTTGAGAGTGTGTATCTGTATAAGCAAGTATTGCTTCGAGTATTTTGAGTTTGGTGAGAGAAAATATATTGTAATAGTTGTGTGAGATAATTTCCGAGTGCTATACCGCAATTTGATAAAACGAGTATATCTCGAATTGTCTATTACAATTTTCTCGTGTCGCCACTACAACACTTCCGAATACCCTATAAGCGGTATCAAAGCAAGGTTGCGCACTCTACTACCACCAGTAGTTCTGTGTAATGAGTTGGCACAAGACTCTACCACCATTGAAGATAAACGTGTGGCGGAGTTGGAGTTGGGCTAGCTTTAGGCTGTGTTTCTCTTTCCAAGCCATGCCCATTTGGGCAGCTAAACAATTACACATGAACATGAAGTCTCACGGGGCTTCGCAAGCAGAATTCGTAAGGGATCGGGCTCGACCTTCTCGAGTCAGTAACTGACCATCGATTCCTGTCAGGTCATATTTGAAAACCATGATAGTTCGACTTCAAGTGTAGTCGACAACATTACTACAACGAAAGAGGCGGTTTTACAAAGAAAACCTCTTATTGTACAGGAAACCATGATACTTCGACTTCAAGTGCAGTCGACAACATTACTACAACAAAAGAGGCGGTTTTACATAGAAAACCTCTTATTGTACAGGAAACATGTTAGTTTTACACGCAAATTGGATTGATTATTCACCGAAGGCGGGAGAGAGAGCCTATTTTCCGCATTGCGAGATCTACAATGCTTCTGGACAGCACAACACGAATGTCTCACATGTGGCTGATAAAGCCTTGGCACTAGTCGCAGGACACCTTTTCCGAGACGACTAGAGCCTTTTGAGGCCGCTTCTCTGCTGAATCTTCCCTTTCTGCTTCTGCAGCTACTTCAAGATTTGCTTCCGAATGTTGTCGGCGATAACGCAGAATCACAACAGATATGAACGCTGTGAAGAGACCAATACCAAACTGTCAAGTTAAGTAGACATTGATGTTCTTAACAAGTTTGTCTCAGTGCAAATAGAGGAGATTCACTAATCACTAATTCATCAACAAATGTCCTGCAATATTCTGCACTGCCTCTTAAATTTCGCAGACTCGCATCTTATAAAGTTCACCTGAGAGCAAGCGAGTCTTTATTGTTGTCAGATTCCAGAAGGCCATGATTGCTGATGCAGCTACGATTTTCTTGTGGGAGCAAGCACCCCATGTTTCAAGAACCCACCATTTGGAGCGCTCCACTATACAAACCGAGGCACGCTTAGTTAAATATGAGCATGAAAGCATGAGCAAGTAACATTCATATACATAGCATTGAACGAACGTATGTACCTCTTTGGCTTATCCGAGCTGAGTAGCGGGAGTATAGTTTCGGGCCGGTGAAGCTGATGAAGAACCCTGCTCAAAGTAAAAAAGAATGTGTAAGGCATTACTATACATTGCCAAGCAATCCTGAGAGTTATAAGACAGGTTCTCATTTAGGTGAGGTACAATAAGCTTGCACTCACTACTCACCAATTGCACATAGCCTCCAAAGCGTGATGAGATGGCCATATTCAGCTCCAAGAAGGAGAAATGGAGCTACCTGATCAGGAAAAACAGAAATGTTGATCAAAGATAATGACTTGAGCAAACTGCATATGGGCATTGAACAGGAATACTAGCCCACCACGACATACTTTAAGGGTCATGGACGGCTCCCCAGAGAAAAGCTCTCTCGTCTTCGAAATTGCAAGATTAGTAGCGGGAAGTATCAATCTAGCCACTCTCAAGATGTCATCTTCTTTTAACTGGAAATCGCGCCTCTTCTCAACATTATTCCTGCATCAATGCTGCACCTTAGCTCACAACTTTACACACATAAAGAAACAGTGCAAACACTAGAGTGAAACTATACCTTTGACAGATGGAATTGGAGAAGAAAGATAACCCCAAAAAGAGAAGTCCCAGTTGGCAAATTGCAGAGAAAATGCTGATAACATAAGCCATCAGGAAATTTGATCAGATATCATCCTTCACCGGTTGTTCTTACAATAAAAACAAACCCATGTAGAGATATAAGCCAAACAAGAAATGACTTCATCACACCTGAAGCTGATTCCTTGAGCAAAGCAAGAAGATAAGAAGCAGAGAGACCCTAGACCAAACCAAAGTGTCGATTTCGCCGCATCTCTCCACATTATCAAGTCAGTAATAGCCTGTCCAATTCGGTCCAAATTCCCATTGTCCCCATCATCAGTTTCTACGTCTGAAATGTTCGACAGTGTAAGACAGTAATAAAGATGAGCCATTCAATCTCTACAGCAAGAACTATGGAAAAACCCAAACCCTAGATTAATCATCCGAGCACAGAGCGAGACGTGACATACTCAGAGACAAACTAGAAGAGGTGTTCACGAGAGGCACCAGGGCAAGCCTCTCCTTCCTCGACCTCCCGCCGTGCTTCCTCCTCTGCTTCACGGCCTCCTCGATCAGCCCCAGATCCCGCTCCTCCCTAACCTCCGCCTCGGCTCGCCTCCGCGACCGCCGGTTGCCCCTCGGCGAGGCGCACCCCAGAAGTCCCGCCTGCCCCTCCCTCCTCTTGCACCGCTTGCGCAGCGAGCCCCCCGCCGCCGCCCCCGCCGCCCCGCCGCCCCCGCGCCCCTCCGCGGGATCGTCGGCCGCCTCGAGCCTATCGGCGAGGCGGGTCTTGGACCGCTTGTAAGGCGAAGGGGAGAGCAGCAGGAGCTCCTGGAGGGGGAGGGAGTTGTTGGAGGATCTCAGGGAGAGAGGGGATGGCGAAGGGGTCTTCCTGGGGGACGAAGGGACCAGGTCGAGGGACGACAGGTTCAGGGACCCGTCGGTGTCGATGCTCGAGTCGACGACGGCCCGGGCGAGGCGCGACACGGAGGACTTGGCCCGGGACCGGTGCGAGAGCGGGGTCGTGTCCATGGTTTCTTGAATTGTGGGTATCAAGAGCGAGTTGCTAGCGAGAGAGAGGCAGAGACAGAGGAAGGAATCGAAATTCACGAAGTGATGAAGATGGGGAAGATTGATGGGGGGGAGTTGGTTTTTGTTGGGTTCTTTTGTATTGGAAATTTGGAAGAGGAGAGGAGAGGGGAGAGGGGTGGGGTTGAAGGAGCCGTTGGAGATGGAAAAGGAAGGAAAGATCAAGAAAAGCGATTGGTGTTCTCTCTCTCTCTCTCTCTCTATCTCTGTTTTTCTTTTTTTCTGGGGAAAATTTTGAATGTGGGAAAGGAGGGAAAAGACAAGGGAAAATGGATGGTTGTTGGGCCATGAAAGCTTCAACGGTAAGAAAGCACGGGTCAAACATTCTTGGACATTGTTTTATTTTTGTTTTTGTCGTCTGGGGTCCATTTCACGTGAGCTGAACCGGACCTGTCCGGCGACTTCCCGGGGGAGGGTCCGATCCGACGTCACTCGCCGTCCTAGTTTTCGGAAAATTATTAGGTACTCCCGGAACGCGCACCCTCCTTGCGTCTCGTAAATCTCTTTTGTCTTTTCAATGTCTACATGATCGCTAGGGGGGGGGGGGGGGGGGGGGGGACGCGAGACACCGGGCACAGAGAGAGAGAGGCCAAAAACCCGAACACGATCCCAGGCGGTGCTTATAGTTTTAACTAGAATTTTAAGATGGGTCTTAACATGAATTTAGAACAAAGTATACGTTACTCGTTGAGACTGATCAGATAATGACCGATTGCGTCCTGATTGGATGCTGCCTCAAGTGTCACTTTGAAGATGAAAGTTCAACTAGAGGACTTCACCGGTCGAGCAGAACACATTATTACACATCAGCTCTTAATTATTTGTTGATAAAGTAAGTTACGACATGGCAGCGATGGTTGCGCGAGTCGATGATCCCATAGGTGCGGACGAGCAGGACTAGTTGCACAATTTTGAGAGAAAGGTGCAGGCTATGGCGTCGCGGAACGCCTATGGCAGAAAGCTTTTATCCTTTCGAGGCCGTCTTCGAGGCATAGTGGCTCGACGGCATAAGTTATGCGAAGCCAATTTTTCATCCCCACCACGGTCCCTGCAAGGAACGGATGCGTCAGCAAACCACCGGTAAGGAGGTGAGGAAGCAGCTATGCAGCATGAAACGTTAGGAGCCGGTTCTTTCAATGAACGTTAGCAGCAATGCATTCATGAACGCCAACGAAAAGCGGTGCGAAAGACATTCGCAAAGAAACCAGGTAGGACTCCTCAATTAGCCAAGTATGTGGAGAGAATTCGAACCGGCTGGTGAACCAAGCCATCAAAATTTGGGCTCTGAACAGCTATATTCATTACTTAGTTTGTTCTTGGGAACTTGAGATGCGTAGCAGTTCTTAGTGAAACGCGTAGCGTTAACTAACAATGCACACTCCATCTATTTGGACGATAGTCGAACGTGTGGACTTAAGATGGGAGTTGCATTATGAATTAGACATCTCAACATAAATAAGCACAACAGTAAGCATAGAGGGCTTTCACAGTGAGAGCAGGAATTCTCATTAATGAACTTTGGCAACAAACAAAGTTTGGCTAATACGATACCGGGCAGGACGACTACAGATTCCTCCTTCGCGAGCTTCAGGCAGAAATCCATATCATCTTTTATGTCTTCCAGGAGTGAAACATCTAGTTTGACCTGCGAGGATTGTCTCTGGTTATTATAACTCAATCGATCAGTTGATATTGAGCTCAAATGTACGGCTTTCTTACCATTACAAAGATAGACCCCTGCGGCTTGTGCGGACAAGCAATGCACGGAATCTCGTTAACTTTATTGAAACATATCTCCGCAGCTTCCTTTAGAATGCTGTTAGTACTTGAAAAGAATTGCTCTGTTGTGTCCTGAAGGATCTTTGGAATAGCTCCCTGATGCAAGATGACAGCATAAAGACTATGAAGCAGATCAAGAGCGAATTCTCTTACGTGACCATAAGGCGATTGCATGAGGAAGTGATTCTAAGATCCACTACTTGTGTATTCAAGATAAGGTGCAACATAAACTTCTCAAAAGAATCTGACCAAAAAGAAACTTTCTAATTCCAAAATACACATAGTGGATCATTAGTGTGCAACATAGCTTCTTATCATCGAGAATGCAAGGCATAAAGTTGTAACAAGCTCAGAATGTCATATTAACTGCAGTTCTCTAGCTTCCCTTTCTATGATTTGCTTTACAGGTAAGAGGAAAGACAGGCTACCATATCCAAAATATCACAAACCTGAATGAAGGTAACAGGTTCAGGGGAACAATCAAGACAGATCTTAATGCACTCCACAATCTGAGACGGCAAAAAAACAAGAGTTTATGCCATGTTGCGAGTAGCTTGCAGGAAAAAGAAAGAAAAAGACTTGTCAGTACCGCAGATTCTTGAAGCATTTTCAGAGGATCATTTATCGCTATCCAACCAAGTCGCCAACCCGGGACGGCCCATCTCTTCGAGATAGATCCAAGCGTAATCACAGGCACAACAGATCCAAAAATGCCCATCGGCACAAAAGGATCGTCTCCGAAACAGAGATGGCCATAAACTTCATCAGCTATCACAAGAATCCCGAGCTTTTTTGCAGTCTCTGCAATCTGTACACAAGTGTGAGATATGAAAATAGGTCTCCTCAACAACAGTCCACAGAGGAGGGTTTTCTGGATCTGACAAGTAACAAGTCCCACCTCTCTCAGATGCCGATGACTATATACATTTCCACAAGGGTTGCCCGGATTTATTACAACAATAGCAGCGGTTTTCTCGTCCGTGAGGGCTTCGATCGAATCAAGACACACCTCCCAGCCTTTCTCTGGAAGAAGCTCATAATGGCGGACTTCGAGCTGACTAAAAGCACAAAAAGTCTCGTACCGCGGAAAGCCAGGCCTCGGAAGCAATACGTTTGAGCCAGCTCGAGCAAGGACATTGATCATGACTTGGATGGCGTCTTTGCAGCCGCTGGTCACGAAGACATCATCTGGCAATAACTTGTAGGGCAGATCACGCGAAAGGTATTCGGCGATTGACCTGGTGAACATAAAAGCAGCAAAAATGACATATTGGAGAACAAACAAATAAGAAAAAAAGGAAAGGAAGAAACACTTCACTGCAACATTCATCACCCACAAACAGGATGCTTGATGGAACATTACCCTTGAATAGCATATTCAAGACAACAAAAACATGAACGCAAGATGATGAGTCCATTAAAAAGATGACAATATGAGAACGACATGGAAATAGTGATTTGAGCAAGTAACAGCTATGTGAACGAGAAGAGACCACAACCTCCTAGCTTGAAGAAGACCCAGAGAAGGGGCATAGGAGTTGAACTTGGCTGACTTGAGAGCGTCGACAACGGCTTCCTCGGCGACCGGAGACGTGCGGAAGCACGGGAATGCAGAAGGGTCGCCATGGCCGAGCAAAACAGGAGGTCTGGGGTAAGCCGCATTGAGGTTCTGCTTCAGCATAGCGCACACGTTCATTATGGTGACGGGCGATTCCGTGCTCTTCGCGAATCCGAGTCTACTCCATTTGTTCTCCATCTCTTCTTCCTCTTTGAGTCCTTCCTCTGGTTTGGATTGGATCGAACTTAGGAATGACAAGTAAACTGCGTTCGAAAATGGACTTACAGACCGACGAAGTCGGTTTGGCACGTTGCACTGTGCTACTTTTAACATGTTCTAATTTTTGAAGTCGTCAACATAAAATATTGTGTGTAGCACGTTGCTGTCGGCCAGAGCCATCGCATCGTCATTCAACCCGCCTCAATGGTCCAACTCGGACATCATATTTTCCAAACATCGTCCCTCCTTTATTTTATCTGACCTTATCATATCCGATTAAAAAGTCCGAGCAAAAGCCAGCCTTAATACACATAATTTCAAAGGATTTTAAACATCGATATCCATATTGAGAGGACACAATAATAAAAAAAGGATAAGGAAAAGAACTAAGTTACAATGAAATGGGGAATTCACAATGTTCATGTATACCTTTTAACGATAGCATGAGCACAATATTGATTTCACAATGAAATTTTTTATTCCAACGTTTTTTGCACCATCCGACCGCAAAGGATACCCCTCAACTTTGCTTTAATCGTTTGGAGATTAAGTTTGATGGGAAGGTACTTTTGATAACAAAGCTAATGACTTCATGTAGAGTTTTCTAGGGAATGACGTGCAATATGCAGGTGGGCGAGAAGACATGATAACAAAATTTGAGGGAGTTTGTATATTTTAGATCAAGTAGAAATGTCCTCACGAGTTCCCTAGGAATTTCCCCGACGTAATTAACTCCGCCGATAGAAATTATTAGCGAGTCGCGGCACTTTTGGAAATCGGAATATGCATATCTGATGTCATCACATCTTTATTTCTAAAGAGACGATTAAATTACAAACAGGGAGGTGTTGATCACCTAATGACACTGCTTCTTGACATTTTGCCGAGCAGCAAAAGTTACGAAGCCCTTACTTGAAGTTTTTATTCCCAGCCAAAGCTAAAGCAACCAACACGACTAAGAAGGGACCATTCTAATGGAGGTTTGGATCGAATCAACAGTCCGGTTAATTTTCTCCTCCTCCTCCGTCCCCTACTTCCGGGCATATGCTCGGATAATTAGGTTTCTTATGGATTGACTAATCTTGTTTTATAGTTTGCAATGATCTTCAACGTTGTGACAAAGGCATCTCAAGATCCAACAAGGAGTTGATGATCTCAGTCCCTTGTGGCGCCGGCATGGACCGACACATTTATTTTTTGGCATGCCTTTCATAGAAGGCCTTAATCCTCGCCAGGCCATCTTTGAGAGAAGATGGGTCGATGGCGAAAGTGATGCGAAGCCAGTTCTTCATTCCAACAGCTAACCCTGCAAGACAAATGTTATCGATTATCATCTGATGGATACGGATATCATCGCTTGAGAAAAGCAGAGAACTCTGTAGCGAAAATGGGATGGGTGTATGAGAGGCTGAGTTTACCAGGCAGAACAATAACAGATTCTTCTTTAGCCAGTTTTATGCAGAACTCCATATCATCCTTTATGCCCTCCAACAATGATAAATTCAACTTGACCTGTCACGATAGCATCTTTCACTTATCAAGAAAAATATAAATCACATAACTGTGTATGCCATACCGATGAAAAAATAAAAATACATACATACATATACATGTGTATATATAAATGTCCATACCATTACAAACATGCCTCCATCTGGCTTATTTGGGCACACGATGCAAGGTATCTCTTGAATCTTCTCATAACATATGTCTGCAGCCTCTCTTAGTAGGCAAATGATTTTTGAAAAAAAATCATCATTTGTTTTCTCAAGTATGTGAGGGACCGCCCCCTGTTAAAATTGCAATGAAGAGCGGAAATAATTAGCTATTACTTTATAAGGAAGCTAGTTGTCCACAAATAAAAGTTAGCAAGCACTCTCGCAAGGATTAAACGAAGACAATATTTTATCAAGTAAAAGCGAGTTGAGATAATTCAAGCCAAATGACTGAGACAGAATATCTATCACTTCTAATAAGAATATCAACAGCTTGCGCATCACAGTCTAAAATCTCTGAGAAAAGTAACATGCACGAGGTGACTGTAGAGAGGAAACACGCAAATCATTGGGGATCTGTTTTGGGTGCGACTCTACATTGCTATGCAGTATACATTGTTTTAATTAACCATCTTCAAGAGAAAAAGCTCTCATTAACTTGTCACTTCCTGAAAGACTTGCCAAGAATGTCCACAACTCGCTCTAGTAATGATACAAAAATAATGCAGACAAAGCCTACTAACTAAATCATTTTGAAAAACAGCCCATGTCTCCAAATCTGGATGTCACTGATCAATTATCAGGAGTAGTTACGTACCTGGATAAATGTAGGAGGATCAGAGGATATATCCAGAAATCCTTTAAGGGACGTAGGAACCTGTAGAGAGAAAAGGAACAATCTAAATGTCCTGTGACCAACCCCAGCAGTCATATAATTCGGCCCAAAAAGATATGCAATCAAGCGAGCAGTCACGCTCACAAACCCACGCATGCACGCACGCGCACATACACAGAGAGAGAGAGAGAGAGAGAGAGAGAGAGAGAGAGAGAGAGAGAGAGAGACCCCAGTGTCTTTCAGAAAACCATTGGGATCATTTGTCACAAGCCAACCAAGTCGCCAACCTGGAACAATCCACCTCTTTGATATTGATCCCAACGTCAAGACAGGCGCAATGGATCCAAAAACACCCATGGGGACAAATGGTGTATCTCCAAAAGCTAGATGACCATAGACTTCATCTGCAATTACCATAATCCCAAGCTTCCTTGCTGTTTCGGCAACCTTTTTTCGGAAAAAGAAAGAAAGAAAATGATGAACAACAGCTAATGCAACACAAATGTGGATACCAAAGATTATAAAAGCGACTAGCAACAAATCTATTTAGCTTCCACTGCCTGAGATAAAGAAGCATCTCGAGAGGCTATGTAGCTCTCTAAGTCAAGCTCCAGTGGAATCTACTGGCTCCATTCCAGCTTATAATCATAGATTTTTCCATGTTTATGAGACATCTACTTGCTAAGATTCGAAGAAATCTTAAACAAAATGCAAAAGCAACCTTCTTTAGATGCTGGTAGCTGAAGACACTTCCGCAAGGATTGCCAGGATTGATGATAACCATGGCAACAGTACTCTCGTCTGCAAGATCCTCAACACCCTTGAGATCAACCTCCCAACCCTTATCCGGAAGAAGATCAAAATACCGTGTCTCAAGATGGCTATGTGCAGCACGTGCATCATAGTATGGGAATCCAGGTTTTGGAAGCAAAATATTGGCCCCAGGGCGAGCGAGAACTGTTAATATGGCTTCGATTGCTTGTGTGCACCCAAGTGTCAGATGGACATCATCTGGTGATAATTTGTACGGGAGATCATGGGAGAGATAATCAGCAATAGCCCTGTGGAAGTTGGTGCCCCGAATTAGTCTAGCTCACTTGAACGTGTGGTCTGGAAATAAATTGCTATTCAGCCTACAGAAAGCACCTAGGTCAACATAGTCATAGCGGCCTTTACACAAAATTCAATCGTTATCCAGACAATTGACAATGACCACTTCTTGTAGTCACTAAAGCTTGGTCCCATTTTTTATACTCTGTTTTCAACATACTGTTTTTGCTAGCAATATGATGATCCAAGTTGATTGACGAGACAGTTGATATTGACCGGCAATAACAGCTACTATGACATTAAGATACAACCATGAACAAACCAAATGGTTAGTATGCATAAAGCAAAACAACTGCCAGGACAATGCATTTTGCATTCGACCCCCTTGCAGTCTCGCGACGGAAACAGAATACACAATAAGGTTCAAAAACCTCAATTGAGTTGCCTTTCACACTAGCCACTCATCAGCCTCTCAATCATTGACCATTTAAACTGTACGATTTCTTAAATCTTGCATGACCACATGGATGTAAATCCCGGCATTTTTAAGTACACGACTCCGTCGGCACCTTAAACGCATCAACAATCGACTCGTAGGTACTAGGAAGATCGAGGATGCAAAATAACATGCTTGGGGAATATGACACGCGCAGCTAAACAAACGGTCCCGACCATAAGAAGCATACGAGCCAGTCCATGCTATCGCCAAGCTTGTACAGAGCACGATATTATCTGTTCGTCTCAAGATTACACGCGATGCAGAACTAATCCCTCCAAAAAGATACCGTAGCTCGCAGATATACAGGCCGGAAAAAAGAACAACATTCGGCTATAATCCTCGCCCATCATTTCAACAGACGCAAGCATTGGCCTGACGAATCCGCAAGTTCTCCACCGTTTCAGAGCGTCCTAGTAGTGCACTCAGAAAACTCTACCAACTTTCTACCTCCCAAGCCTCATCCCAAAATCTCACTCTCTTCTCACTACTTTCCCCCTATTCCCCTTCTGATTCAGCCAAAAAAGGTCGCGAACGTGAACGAGAAATCTAATCCTGACAATCTCGAACGGCACCGCTTCTTACCTCCGGGCGGGAAGGATACCGACGGTCGGGCCGTAGCAGTTGAACTCGCCGGAGCGGACGGCATCGACGACGGCGTCCTCGGCGATGGGGGCCGTGCGGAAGCAAGGGAAGGCGGAGGGATCGCCGTGGCCGAGCGGGACCGCGGCGCGGCCATCGCCGGCGTCGAGATTGGCCATGACCTGGCAGAGGATGCCGCGGACGGTGATCGCCGACGCGGCGGACAGCCCCTCGTTGCCCCGGAACTTCCAGACCGGCGCCCCGTTCTCCATGCTCGCCCGCTTCGTCGTCGTCGTCCTCTTCCCGGCGATGGAAAGATGGAAACAGACGAGAGCGTCCCCTGTTTTTCTCGTATGTCTGTGGTGCTCTTGCTCTTGCAGCGGGGGCCCTATAAAAAGATCCCGCGAGCTTCGGACGCGGACAAAGCAGTGTTGTTTTGTGAGCAACGTGTCGCGGACCATGATTCTCTCCTACTCTCGTAGGAGTGGTGTCAGGACGGTTGGCGTTAGAAATTTTAGCAGTAGGCCGAAACCAATTATCGTATCTAAATAAAAGATATGTGTATCTCGCTCGATGGACTAGACGCCCGAGCTATACCAGGCATGGTACGATCCGATACAAGGAAGCTATTCGCCGTATTATTCTCTGG